AGATCTAGGCAGTTTTGTCATATATATAGGTTCATCTATCTACCACTACAGTCAAGATATAGAACAGTTCCATCACCACAAAGATCCCTCACGTTGCCCTTTTTTTTTTGTGTGAGGGAAATTAGCCCTGAGCTAACATCTGTTGCCAATCCTCCTCTTTTTGCTGAGGAAGATTGGCCCTGGGCTAACATCTGTGCCCATCTTCCTCTACTGTATATGGGACGCCTGCCACAGCATGGCCTCCTGACAAGCAGTGCGTCGGTGGGCACCCAGGATCTGAACCCGCGAACCCCAGGCCACGAAAGCAGAGCTTGTGCACTTAACCGCTGCGCCACCAGGCCAGTCCTAATCGTGTGGCCTTGATCAGGTTACGTAATTCTGCTGAGCCTCGGCTCCCCATCTGTGAAGTGCCTGAAGTATACTAGGCACTCAACATCTTGAAGCGGTTACATTATTATTATTATTATTATTAAATGATAAAGCTTTCAGGGCCAGTCCGGTGGCGCAAGTGGTTAAGTGCGCCCGCTCTGCTGCGGCGGCCCAGGGTTCGAAGGTTCGGATCCCGGGCACGCACTGACACACCACTTGTTAAGCCATGCTGTGGCGGCGTCCCATATAAAGTAGAGGAAGATGGGCACGGATGTTAGCCCAGGGCCAGTCTTCCTCAGCAAGAAGAGGAGGATTGGCAGTGGATGTTAGCTCAGGGCTGGTCTTCCTCACAAAAAATAAATAAATGAATGATAAAGCTTTCATTAAGCACTTCCCCATCAACACTCCGAAGCATCCTAATGGTGCACATCGGTCACCGTGCACCATGATGGCAGACTCCTGTTTCTTTTGTTTCCTTCTGCCACAGAATGATGTCATTGGTTCACAGAAATCTAGAACTGCACAGCGGTGTGTGGCTAATGGATTAGGCCTGACATCAGTGCTCCTGATGGACAACCAGGCGTGCATTTGACTAGCGTTTATGGAGCATCCTCTAGGTGCCAACCACTACTCTAAGTACTAAGGAAACAAAGTAAATCAGACCAAAAAGAGACCTGATCTCATACAGCACACGTGTTCTAGAAAGGGAGCCAGGCAAAAGACCAACAACGATCGCTTGAAATAGTGAAGAACGGTGTGCAGAAATTGAAACAGGGAAATGCACCAGAGAGAAACTAGGGGCAAGGGGAGAGGGGGGCAGATTAGCTTAATCACGACTTCTCCTGGAGTTCCCGAGTGTGCTGAGAGGACTCAGGCCCTCTGGAGCCAGTATCCCTGATCTGTAAAGAGAGGGGGGCCCCCACACGGTCCCCAAGGCCTCCTTTAGGTCTGATTTTCTATGACTAAATTCCAATAACGCATATATTTAGCAAAAAGGTACACACTGAACGTGATAGAGGACACAGTTCTGTGTCCACCTGGATGCATTCCGAACTTCGGAAGGAACCGTAACCTGCAAGCACCGACTGTGCACAGAAGAAACTGGGCAGCGTCAGCCTTCGCACCTTTTTTCCTAGAAGGAGAATCCGTCTTGCTCACTGCCGGGGCTGCGCTGGCAGAGAGGGGTTTGGGCTCTTCGGTCGTAGGGAAAGGCAGGGCTGCTGCTCCTAAGGCCTCGACGTCCTCTTCATTCACAAATTGCATCTCCGTCTGAGACTTGTTCTGCTCCAAAAGCAGCTGCACAGGAGGCCCCCTGGTCAGCGTCGGCGACTGGTCACTAAGCGCATCTGAAGATTCACTATGGATGGCCTGAAAGTGCATCTTATCACAGATTTTTCTACTGCTCAGCGGGCTGGACTCTTTCATCTTATGTGGAGATGACTAGATCAAAGGGGCAGGGGGAGGGAGGGAGAGAAGGTCAGAGCACGGTCAAACGGAACAACTGAGCTAACCAAAGAACAACAATTAGTCAGTTAACGATCCGCAGCACTGTCCACACTTCGCAGGGAGACTTTTAAGCCTCAGGAGTCACCTGGTGATTTCTGTGCCTGCCAAAAGGTCTGAAAACCAAGAATATTAGTTCCAAACAAACAAATTCTCGCATAAAACATCAACTGCCAAAGAGAAGTGAGATCAGTAATGACAGCCAACAAGTGGAAGTAACAGAAATGACCATCAGTAGAAAGGGAAGTACGTGCACACAATGGCGTATTTGCAGTAATGAGAATAAATGAATTACAGTCACACACACAACATGACACATGCTGCAAAACTAATCTCTGCTGTTGAAGTGAGGATTGTAGGGGGCCAGTTTGAGTAGTAACCATAAAGCGTGGGGGCTTCCAAGTTGCTGGCTAAGTCCTGCTTCTCAGTCTGGGTGCAAGTCGCCTGGACACGTTCAGTGTGAAAATTTATTGATCTATGCACTTACGATCTGGGGGTTTCTCTGTGTGTTTTACTTTAATGATTAAGTTTACCCCCAAAATGTGAGTGAATAAGTAGATTTGGTGGTTGGGTCACATGAGTGGGAAATTAGCATTTCTGATTCTACCTCTCCAAGGAGTTTCCAGTTATGGAAAAAATTTCTTCAAACAAAAACCAAAATGCAATTTATGGGTTAGAAAGAGGGGCGAGGGTATTCATTTCTGTATCTGATCTCACAGCTTCTAGCACAAACGAAAACAACGCTACAGCAGATCTGTGGTTGGAACTGTTTTGCCAGAAGAAGTGATGGGTTTGCACTTTGAGGCCGTTTCTCCAGCAACGAATGACATGAATTTGTCAAGATGGCTGGCTGGGTCAGCACTACAGCTTGCGGGCAGAGAAATCAGCATTTTCTGTGAAAGCTAAATATAACCTAGAAAGGGAAGGAATCCACAACTTCAGCCTCAACAGACATACACTCCAAAGAGCCGCCCATCTTGATTCTTAATAGGAATGCTTTCAAGCTTCACTCACTCATTCATTCATTCATATTACAAACATTTAGTGGGGATAAAAGAGGCTACAGCATCTTCTAAGGTCATTACAATATTAAAAAAAAAAACAGCTTGCAATATAATATAATTCAAGATTTTTGTAATACATTGGAATATGAAATAAAATTTCTTGAAAGAAAAGATTGTGTCCATTTCATGTTTTCAGAAACTACCTTCAGTGTATAGCAGAATTGAGGAAAAGAACTAACCTTTGTAGCTTGTGGCAATTCTCCCCAAAGCCAGAGCATTTCTAGGTTACTCTTCTGCATCGTCCTATCTGTGGGCTTACTGACCAATTCAGAATCACTTTTAGGTGTCGAAGGTCGGGAACCTGAAGGACTTAAGAAAATACAAATCCATGATTAAAGTGGGAAGAGAAACTTTTTTTTTTAATGTTTTTGGCCCAGAATTCTATGGTTCAAATAGCCCAGAAAATGCACTCAAGCCGCCATTCCCTTACGAACACAGCTTCATGACATATCCCATCTATGGTCCACAGATCACACGTCCAGGTGGAAAGAGCTTCCAATTTGGGTAACCTGTCCCAACCTGCCGCCAAATTCCAAGTAAGTAAAGAGGAGAAGAAGTAGTATTTTAAAAGGAAAATTGAAAAAAAGAGAGATGAAAAGAGAAAGGAAAAAAAGAGTTTGTTCTTACCTTAAAACCACCCATCCTTCCCCACCTCACCCTGAGCTCACCTCTCCTGCATTCTCAATTTCCAAATCAACTCTTAACTCTCAGACAGCTGCAAAAGGGTCCCAGCCATCTCTGAGATGCACTCATCATATTCTGTATTTAAAATATTTATAAATCTGCACCGGCTTTGAAAACAGGGAAACTGCATCATGTGCCAACTTCACCACAAATACCAGATGCCACAAATAAACTCATTAATGTGGCAGGAAGCTCCAAGTTGAGATTCTGTAAAATACTGTCTCTTCAGGAATACTTCACAGATGCACCCATCTGCTAAGCCTCTCTCTGCAACAACATATCACCATGTTTAATTCTCAGGCCAGCTTTCAAGGGGCTGTAACTTGTGTTCTCATCTCTACATTTTCTATGTTTTTACTCTTTAGATCTGAACAAAGTCTTCTTTCCATCCAGCCAGAGTAACTGACCAAGCGTATCAACTTAACTACATAATTCTCACAGCATTCAAAACAAGATACAGATGAGAAAAAAAAAACTATTTAATTACTCCTTGTCTTACTCTCCTGCATCATATCCTCGAGAATAAGATGACAGTTTTAAACAAAGCAGGAAATAAAGCTTCCACAATTTTCCTTTTACATCTTCTTTCACAGACCTCACAGTCTCTGAAGTTACGTCTCACCAATGTGCTTGGTCTCATTTATCCGTTTGAGTTAGATTTCAACTCCAATTGAATACAACTTTCCTGTCAGGACAAGGAGAGCTCATGGATAATACTTAACTTGTATCAAACAAATAGGGACCTTTAATGGCTAGTGATCCTGGGTCTCTTTAGCCAAGCTCTTTGGACCAAACAGACTAAACGCTCTCTCTCCTTCATGTCACACTGAGGTGTATATAGGCTGGTTCCTTTTCCCGTGGCACCCACTGCCCACCAAACCACCTCAATGGAGTGTTGCTACAGTGCAGCCCTCAGGCTCTATTTCACCAGTCTGTGGAGAGGAGGAGCCTGAGACAGCAAACTGTGAGAGTGTATACAATGGAATACCTCTCCCAACACACACACACACACACACACACTCTATTCTGCCCTTCAAGAAGTACAATCATGCACCGCATAACAACATTTCGGTCAACAACGGACTGCGCATATATGATGGTGGTCTCATAAGATAAGTACCACATAGCCTAGGTGTGTAGTAGGCTATACCATCCAGGTTTGTGTAAGTACTCTCAATGATGTTCGCACAATAACCTATTTCTCAGAACGCATCCCCGGCATGTAACTGCAGTCCCATGGAAAGGAATACTGGGCACTCCGTACAACTGATTGGTAGAGTGTTCATCACCTTGCAACCTCTCTTGCTCCTTCTAGTTCTGTAATTATGCTTTTCTCCAAAGCGTCAATGCGTTTCTGGCACTGAAGTGTCCATAATATGTTCAATATCGGTGAAACGTGCAAAGGGAGTGTTGTGGCCTCCGGTGTACCTGCAACCATGACCTGAATCCAATCTTCCTCCAGAGTCATCACGGAATAAGTTCATTGAAACTGGCTTCCTACCCTGCACCCAAACCTCAAATCATTTGTTGAAAAAACTCCTATTATATTTTATCACACAAAATATAATTTATATTTTGTTATAAATTCTTTGGAACAATAAATTATCTTACCCACTGCACTAAATTAAGCAAAGCCCTTTAGATTAAGCTTGCTCTGGAATAAGGGGTCAGCAAACTTCTTCTGTAAAAGGCCACATAGCAATATTTCAGGCTCTGTGGGTTATGCGATCTTTGTCACAACTACTCAATTCTGCCTTTGTAGCACAAAAGCGGCCATAGACCATATGCAAACAAACTGGCTGTGCTCCCATAAAACTTTACAAAAACAGACAGGGGGCCAGATTTGGCCCACGGGCTGTGGTTTGCCGAGCCCTGCTCTAGAAGAATGCATATGTTGAACACAGCTCTCTGGTAGCACCTCCCAACGCCAGAATCCCCAATATTCTGATCCTGTGATAAAAGCCATAAGCCATAAGGTTTCCACAGAGGCAATCAGGTTTGCAAACTCATTTTCATAAAGAACCAAGCCCTGTGTGAAAGTCACAGCTGGAAGTCCCACCTCTCACAGTCGATATGCTACTACAACAAAGGCTGCCCACTCCAGCCACACCAGCCTTTCTCAAAAGGATTCTGTACACAAACACATGTGCACATTCTGCGACTGCTCATTGCGGGAATTCAGACTGACAGAAGATGAATTAGGGAAAAGACTCTTGATACTGAGCGTGACTGATGAGAAAGATGATTCCAAAATTTCCCATTATTAGACTTTTCAGATCAAGGGTTGTTCAAAAAAGTAAGCTTACAAGGTTGTTGACCGATTTTCATAAATAATGCACTGATTAGCCATATAAGAACTTTCAGTATTTTTGCCAGTCCCAATTAAGCTATTAGTTATAACTGCTCAAAACTTAGTTTACTTCATTTAAAAATGGTCTTTCCTCTGCATGTGTAACCTCTGAACGAAGTACTTCCAGAGATTCGGTTATTTCATCAAAATAAAACCAGTTTCCCATGTAGAAATTAATCATGGCTTCATCTGCTAGAGTACATAAAGTAAACCACATACGCCCACAAAGTATGCAGGCCACAGTGTGGAAACACTGAGGGAACAGAGGCAGAAATCTGAGACCACTGCATGAAATGAAAGATAAACCTACGGTCCTAAGCCTTAACATCCACCCTACGCTATTCTCCAAAATTCTGTTCTAGAAATGCACAGAAACATCTGATTCCATTATGCAGAAAGTCTCACGAGCTATTTAAAGAGTTATAATAGCTTCCTTATACTAAAGTGGCATGCTAAAAAATATCTCGTAAACTTATTTGTTGAACAACCCTAGACACAAAGCAAAAGATCATATCCCCCAATTTTATTCCATTATTCTGTTTTTCAAAGCACTCCACAGAATTAGGAAGAATTATACGCTTAACCCTAATTTCCAGAGAGTCAAATTTAGTACTTTAAAAAAAAATCTAATGATCTACAAATGCTTAAATTGAAAGGAAAATAATAATCTATATGTATTATCTTCATAAGTAATTTGGTTAGTAAAATAGATTTGTAAGCATTAGATCAAAATTTTCACTTCATATTACTGATATGTATTTTCTGCATAAGTAATGTAGTTAATGGTAAAATAGATTTGTAAGAGTTAGATCAAAGTTTTCATTATTGAAGACATCCACGTGGGGAAAGAACCCCTCTACCTGTCTGAAGCACGGAAGTGGGAAGACTGTGGAGGGCAAGAACTAGAAAGACCTCCCTCAGCCGCAACTGCCAGATGGAGGGGAGTCCTTTTGCAATCTATCAGGCTACTGGATACCACATGTAGACATTAAAAGAAAGAAAAAATCATAGGTCAATTAAATTAAGAGAAATTTCACATAAATTATTTGACTACTCTCAACAATAACATTTCTAAGAAAATGAACATACTTAGGCAACTGACAATAGCGGAGGACTACATGCTGAAATCACCAAGAAACCAACATGAATTTTCTGAACCGCAAAAAAAACAGGAAACTGCCAAAAGACCCATTTCACTTTCTATTTCATCCATATGCCCATAAAAGATTGTTTTTATAGTCAGAATTTTTTCTGGCCAGAATTTAGTGCTTAATCAAACTACATACTCCAAAGATTTGATAATTTGTGCTATCAATTGTCTCTTTAAAGAAAATACATAATTCCAAGTATGGAAATGTATCTATTTATCTTAATTTGTAATTGCATTTGACAGTGGTCAGATCCATATAATCTGACACAGTCATTATTCTGGATTCATAAGGCAAAACATGAAAGAGAAACATATTCAGGGTTGTGTTTAAAACATTTATTTTAAATCCTTAAAATTAATGTAGAGTGTATGAATAGATTTTTCACTAATTAGCGGTTTCTAACTATTCCACATAATTTTTTCCTAACATACTGTGTTTTTTCCTCTTGAGGATTTATCTCCACAAACCTAGGGAGAGAATGGATGAAGTTCCAGAACGGTCTTGTATCTGCACTGTCCAATATGACAGTCACTAGCTGCATGTAGCTATTGAGCACTTGAACTGCTGCTAGTTTAAACTGAGATGTTCTGTATATGTGAAATACACAACAATTTTAAAGACTTAGTATGGAAACAAGAATGTGAAATATCTCATTAATAATTTTTTTAAACTGATTACTTGAAATGATAATATTTTGGATATACTGGGTCAAACGACATATATCATTAAAATTAATTTCATCACTTTCTTTTTTTACTTTTTAAGGATGGCTACTAGAAAATTTTAAATTACATATGTAGCTAGCAGGATGTTTCTGTTGGACAGGGTTGGTCTGAAGACAGACAGACCTTGATGAGGGGGCTTCACAGGTCCCCAGCCCCACCCTGGTTGACTAACAGTCATTGCCAAACCAGACATGTGATATATCTATTTTTCTCCGACCTCAACTTCAGCACACACCCCTGACTGTGCTGTCTCGTTAGCAAGATCAAACTGGAACCAGCAGGAGTGTTTGCATCAGACTGGCTTCAGATAGGAAGCCTATGAAACCTCTTTTTCATTATCACCACACTCTCGAGCATTCTGAGACATTTTTTTCCCAATAGCCTTCCCTCCACCACGAAATTTTAATGCCATGGATGTGCTCTCTGTCTCTTTATGTGCTCTGGCCCTTTAGAGGCCACAAACCATTATAATATCTAAGAATTTTTTGCCATCCAAGAAGCAATTTTTGCCCTGATGGGGGTGATATCATCCCTGTTGAGAACACACGATTTAGATCTGTCCCCTCCCCAGTTCTTCTGAAAACTGCTCGGAAGGGCTCACAGTTTCGCAGGTTTCGTTGACTTAACAGTCTCTGGAGCCTCCAGGAGGCAACCTGCACGCTGAGCAGCTCTGGTTCTCCAAGGTTACACGGGAACTCTCGGGCAACGTCCGAGTTCATTTCAGGGAAATAAACAGTCTTAAACCCAGCAGAATGGATTAAGTGTGGGGAGGAGGCGTTATTCTAACAGCCCCGAATGACCTCAGTGGCTCCGAAGCAACCTCTCTGGGTCTGAATTTTACTTTAGTGGTGAGTGTCAAGAAAGGCTCAGTCACCTGGTCTCTCCTGCTGACAACCAGCATTATGCAACTCAACAAGCAGTCTTCCTTTCAATGTCACCCTGGGGAGCTAACAGCATATCTGCAGTTCAATTATAATGTTAGCTAGAAGCTTAAGATCTGCACATGTTCTGCGTTTAATCCTGTGTCTCCTACTTTAAATTGCATTTTTTCTGGTCCTAATTATTTTCATTTTTTATTTATATTTCACTGTTTTCTTAAACACGCTTCCTATAACTGCCTTCAAATCCTCTGGACCAGAACAGGTGGACACACACATACATACACCTCAACGTACCTGGCACTGGGTGACCACTCTCTATCGGAATTAGGGTACGACGCTGACTGAGGATAAGTCATAACTGAGGAGAGGTTTTCCTTAGGAATATCTTCTTGGAATGGAGGTATATCATTAGAAAGAGTTCTGGAGAAAAAAAAGATGAAAGTCAAAGAATTATTAGTGATAGATAATAAAGGCAAATTCTAATTTTTCTAGATTATCTCTAAGTGTTTTATAGATTGACATGATCTCTTTTTAAACCACCCAGGCTTATTCCAGGCAGTGGAGAGAAAAAAGTGAGATATAGTCACACAGAAATGTGTTTTGTGTATTTATGCTTTGGCTGAATTATAAATGTAAAATGATTCTGTTCAAGGATTTGGACTTATACATCTGCACGATGATGACACTGCTTGTCATTTACATCGTACCACCTTATATAGTCACTGTCTTCACATTTCATCTCACAAAAGCCTGAGATGTAGATCGGGCCCAACACTGGACCCAGGGGGCTATAAAACTCTCGCCGTGCAGGGGTGGAGCTGCCAAATAACAGAATGACCACACACAGATAATGTTTCATCTAGCACAATAAATAAATGATACAAACCAAATGTTTCTTATAATTATAAAATGATTGCAAATCTACCTCATTTCAGGTATAACATACTCATTACAAAATACGATTCACTATTTTACTTATGCAGAGGCCATCTGCCTGTATTTTTGATGTTACCTGAAATATCTATCACTAAGTTTGGAAATTAAAAGCCATGCAGGAAGGCAACTGTAATAAGCCCAACCACTCAGTTTCTGAGCCTGCAGCAAATTAGAGGCCGTGGTTGGGAGAAGTGACATTGCCAATTTGCCTTTATTTTTAACCAGGAAAAAAAAAAATTTTATTCTGAATAATGAAGCAGGAAGATACTCTTGATCTTCCTTATCCCTTCTTAACAAGATACAAAAACAATTATCAAAAATGACACTGAATTACATAAAAATCTGAAACATCAAATATTCTTTACAAATGGGCTTTGTCTTTTAAAACTGGCATTTTTCACCAAAATAGTAATAGAAACAGAATTTCACCACACTGTTAAAAGCAAAGAAAAATAGAACAGACATTAAATGGACGTTAAACTTTGGGCTTAATCACAATTGAAAAGAAATAGTCTATCATAGATCAGCCCTTAGCTAGAAATCAGCCTAACAGCCACGTACACAGTTGGTGCTCAAATAAAAACAAATAGGTTCTGAAACAACAGTTTCATGTATGAAGTATTAGCTTGCTCAGTTCCTCTATCTTAGTTCTGTTCTGGAATGCTGAAGTTATCAGCCAAGGGGGACTGGCGTGTTACCAACAGTCTCTTAGTCGTAAGCTACACCAAATCTTCATGCATCTTTAAGATTGGGTCCACATGACTCGAAACCTCAAACTAAAATGTATTAACAGAAGAATAAGAAATTCTGCAAGAAAAAAGCGTTCATAAGAACCATCTTAAAAGATTAATTCACCCAATTCTAGTACAGGCCCTGCCTTTCCTGCACATTTACCTACTGCTGTCCAGCGGTTCTGTCTCCTCATCGGAGCTCATCTCTATGGGAAACATGTCTTCATCCTCAGACGTGTTCATGTTGTCATCCCTTTTCAGGGTGTCCAGCTGGGACTTTCTCCTCCTTTTTCGTCTCTTCTTCACTAAAGAACTACTTGAAGGGGTCTCACTGGGAGGTAAGACTTGGGCTGAGGTGCTGGGGTCCAGGCTTCTCATCCTATCTACAGAGTTCCTTTTCAGCTGGCACTCCATGCGCGAGGCTCCTTCTGACAGGATCGGGGAGGTGGCCAGGTGCGTGGGGATCACTTCCTAAAAGACAGAAAATATTTTCAAGAGAGTCTTGTTAATTTGGGTTTAAGGAGCAGGATGGTGCCCAAGGGCAGTGTTAATTTAGGAGCGCAAGCACTCCTCAGGAGGACCACTCAGGGCAGCACAACAAAATATCACAGCCACAGTGATCTGGGGATGTGATGTGGCTGCCGAATCTGGTGGAGGATCACAAAGACAACAATTCATTAAATGCCATTTTGTACTGAATCCTGCATTTTCACAGTTATAACAAAGTGAGGTGATTATCAAGGATTCTGGACCACCAGAATTCAACTTTGTCTGAAATATCCAGCATAAAGAAGAAAGAATGGGCTTTGAGACATCACATCTCCCTGGGAATTGACTCAATTTTGCATTTCAGTGTGTGCATGTGTGTGTGTTTGAGAGAAAGAAAGAGTGAGCGAATGTGTATATGTGTGCATTTTTAATGTACACTGCATTAAGACAATAATAATTTTTTAAGAAAACAGGTGACAGTCCTCATTCCCCTGCCTGCACAACAGCACATCCAGGTATGTGGCTGTCAAGTAACTAGATATTGACCCTCTTCTTAAAAACAAAAGGAAAAAACACATGGCCTGTCAATTTAACAGTTGTTTGATAATGATTCACCAGTTGTTAAAAAACTATAGCAATCATTAATGAATGACTCGTTTATTATGAGAAACCTGGTAACAAGAATATATATAAAAAAGAGGGATAAATGGAAACCTGCTGCTGATGGCTGAAAGTGGTTTAGAGAGCATGATGTGCTAGATGGATAAAATCTACAACTGAGGGGTGTAGCCTTAGGCTGGAAGGAATATGAGAAGCCATCTCACCCCGCTGCTCAGCTGGACCAAATGAACAAGAAACACAGAGTACTGACCCTGGGTCAAGAGCAGAGAAGGGTCCACAGACTGAAAAGAGAAGGGCAGACCTCTGCAGGGGCAGGGTAGATGGCATCCTGCCACAATATGGTGACGAAGGACACAGGCTCCCAATCTCCAGCAGCCTCCCAGGGACAGTAAGGGGCATGTGTATGGGGCAGATCATACTCTGGCCTCCGAAGCCCTGTCCCACCCACAGGCTCCCTGTAAGGCCCAGCTAAACCCATGCAGACCATAACCTGGTCTGCAGCTCCCACTGCATCCTCACTCAAAATGCTTCCTCAACTTTCATGGCACAAAATCGGTCTAAAGCCAAGGGGCAAATTACGCAGGTGTCCTTTTGAGGTGGAAAGAGTTTCCGTCAGAGCACTACTAGAAACCAATCAATAATTCCCAGAGCCTTCCCTTTAAACAGGGAGATAAAAAGCAGATGGGCAGGGCTCCCTGATGGCCACGGGGTAATTACAAAAGATGGAAGGCAGACGACGACAACGCTGGTCCTCCTCCTCCGTCACATCTTTGGGTTCCAAAAGGAGGCAGAATCTGAAACAGTTTTGTCCTGAAACTGAAACTACGGGCATTCGTTTTAGAGTCTGGAGCTATTTAGAGCTAATCGTTTTTAATCGGGCTCTTTTCCCATACAGGAGCTTGTTCAAGTGCACTTTATTGAGGAATCACTACATCAGATCCCTTCAGAGTGGCTTTCTCAGTGAATGAAAGAGTTAAAAAAAAAAGTGGCTTGTCTTCAAAGAAAATATAGTGGCATATCTTCATGACCTTGGATTTGGCAAAGGATTCTTAGACATGAGACCAAAAGCATGAGCAACAAAAGAAAACATAGATAAATTGGATTTCATCAAAATTAAAAACTTTTGTGCCTCAAAGGACACAAGTGAAAAGACGACCCACACAAAGGAAGAAAATATTTACAAATCATATATCTGAGAAGGGTCTTATGACTTATGTCTATAAGGAAAAGACATAATCAACTTTTATAACTCAATAATAAAAAGACAAATAATCCAATTTAAAAATGAGCAAAAGATCTGAATAGACATTTCTCCAAAGATATATACAAATGGCCAATAAGCACAGGAAAAGATGCTCATTATCATTAGGGAAATGCAAATCAGTACCATAATGAGATACCACTTCACACCCACTAGGATGGCTAGAATCACAAAGTCAGATAGCAAGTATTGATGAAGACAGGGACAAATCGGAACGCTCGCGCACTGCTAGTGGGAAGGTAAAATGGTGCAGCAGCTTTGGACAACAGCCTGGCAGTTCCTCACATCTCAAGCACAGAGTTAGCACAGGAGCCAGCAATTCCGCTCCTGAGTAGATAGCCAAGAAAAACGAAAACTTACGTCCATACGAAAAATTGTACACGAATGTTCATAGCAGCGTTATTCACAAGAGCCAAAAGGTGGAAACAACCCAAGTATCCATCAACACCCGAAAGGATAAACAAAATGTGGTATATGGATATAAGGGAATACTATTCAGCCATACAGAGGAATGAAGTACGGATACATGCCACAACACGGATGAACCTTGAAAACATTACACTAAGTGAAAGAAGCCAGGCACAAAGGACCACACACTATATGATGCCATTCATATGAAAGTTCAGAACAGGGAAACCTATAAACACAGAAAGTAGTTTAGTGGCTGCCTAGGGCTGGGGGGAGGATGGAGGGGCTGGGGGTGGGGATGGGGATGTGACAGCTAAAGGGTATAGAGTTTCTTCTGAGGTGCTGAAAATGTCCTAAAATTGACTGTAGTGATGGGTGCACATATATGTGAAAATACTAAAAACCATTGAATTATACACTTGAAATGGATAAATTGTATGGTATGAGAATTATCTCAATAAGGCTGTTAAAAATTTTTAAATAATAAAAAATAAAAGTGATTTGGTCACTCACTAAACAGAAATTAGAACATCCAACTGTTTGAGGTTTCACACATCAGTATAGTTTGTATGCTTTGGACAATGGTGGAGGCAAGTGTGATTCGCTTCCTGTCTCCCTAGACACAGTGAGAAACTGAAGCAGGCCAGGACTGCTGAGTGGTGTGGACAGAGCACACATCCACCCTGTCCGGCTCAAATCCCTAGCACAGGTAAACAGCTGCTCTTCTCTGCTGCCGTCACCCACAGAGCCAGGCGCGAGCATCACATCTCCACACACCTGCTGTCTCCCGGATAAGCACTGCTTAAAGCTCACAACTAGGAACTCACCTTGACCACCCTGCCCTCCTTACCTGATCATTATCAGTCTCTTGAACAAAAAAGGCTTCTCCATTATCTCCTAATTTCATGTGCAAATCCACAGATTCCCCATTGATTTCTATGTCAACCTGAAGGAAAAACATACGTTTAAGGAAACAATGAGCTGCCTTCATAACTGGACACCTCATGGGGGATGGCCGTGTCTCTACATGTTTAATCTATATATATCATCACATACATCCCCAAAATATCTCACAATTCCAAATCTCAATCAGTTGATCCCATCCTACACGCTCTTCCCCATCAACAAACGGAGTCTATTCCTCAGCCCCCCACCTTGAGCCCTTGTGATTGCCTCAACAAGTAGAGCACAACAGAAGTGACACTATGTGACTTCCGAGGCTGGGTCAGAGAAAGAACACAGCGTCCTCCTGGCTCCCTCTCTCTGGAGATGCTCGCCCTTGTAGCCAGCCGCCATGTTTTGAGGCCACATGAGACCACGTGCAGGTGCTCTGGCCAACAGCCTAGCTGAGAGGCCAGCCAAGAACCACCAGGCATGGGAGTGAGCGCATCTTCAGAGGATTCCAGAGAAGTGAGCCTTTCAGCCAAGGCCCCAGACGGCAGAGCGCAGACAAACCAGCCCTGCTGCACTTGGTCTGAATTCCTGACCCACAGAGCCCACAAGCTTAGTAAAGAGTTGGTTTATGTCACTAAATTTTGGAGTAATTTATACAGCCACAGTAACCAGAACAATTTGCATTAGTAATTGTCAATTCAGGGAACAGCCCTTTCAAATGGAGAGCTAAAAATCTGGGTCTGTTAGAATCTTTAGATATGTGAAGCCACAGAAATACGACGATTTTCTCTAAGGAGAGAATCTGTCCCCCGGGTCACCGAATCCTCCGCTCTTACCACTTTCTCTCGGGAGCGCAGGACGCCCATCTTCCCAAAGCGGACGTGGAAGGGGGAGCACTGAAGGGTCCCGTTGGGTTGGCGGACAACGATGATATCGATACATCCAGACAGGGTGGCAGGATTCAACCCCTTGTAGAGTTCCTTCACGGTGACAAACACCTGGCCCGCCAACTGCCCAACGTAATTCATGGTTTGAGCCTAGAAAACAGAGACACAAACAAAACACCCACAGACGCACAATCAATTAATTCGGGGAAGGTCGTCTACCTAGAGCCCGTCACAACGAACTCCTCGTCATTTCAAAAACCTCTATTCCACGTTCGACTTCACACCTTGCTCAGATCATTTTGTTCCACTCGCATGGGGTCCACTACACCAACCCCCACCAGCCATCTCACCCACCCAAACAGCAAGCCCACCAGTCTCCACCCTCACACGGTCCATCCCAGGGCCCCCGAGCCCAGGAAGCCCGATCCCAGTCAGCACTGGGCTCTTCTGCTGAGGTCCACGGTACCTGGTTATATCATCCCCAGGGCTCTTGCCACCTGTGCCTCACTCTGTCATTACATGCAGGTTTTACAGACTAAATCTTAAGACCCTTGAGAAAAGAGACTATATTTTATACCTCTTATCCCCCACTGTGCCAAACAGAGTAGGTACTTAATATTATTAGTTGGAAAAAAAAAATGACTATTTTTCCTTGAGAAGCGAAAAAAAAAGGACTTTTATTTTGAACAATTTCCATCCTGGTCCTTGCCTGCCCACCTGATTCTCTGCCACCACTCCAGGCGATATTTGTGCCCTGCTCAGTCTGTCTGCCCAGCTAATCAATGGAAATCCACTGGGCAAACATCCAGGGCATTTACTCTACAAAAGGCCTGGCGCTGGGGACACAGAGACACAGCCTCTACCCCCTGAAGGGACGCACAGGCTCGTGAAGGAGAGAGAAGTAAAACACAAGTAACAAGATATATGTCATTGTCATCATGTCTGTTTGGTTTTAAGCCCATGTTAAGGGAGTTCCGACCAAGGAAGGAGGGGGATGCATCACAGAGGAGATGGTACTCCACGGGCTTGGAGGAACACTGAACGCTTTCAGGACGAGGAAGGCGGACAAGGGCCCTGCAGGAGGAGAGGCTTGTGCAGAGGCACAGAAGGGGGCTGTGCCTGGAACTGAGACTGTGCAGGGGAAGGACAGAGAGGTGAACTGCCAGGAGATTCGGATGGGGCTATGCAGCAATGCAAAGCCACTGGAGATTCGGGAAAAACAAAATGACGATTTGATCGCAATTTAGAAAAAGCATCGTGGTAAAAATACAGAGAAGACCAGCAAGAAGGGAAGGGGAAGGCAGGAAGACTAACTGGTGGCTGTCAATGGTGCAGACAAGAAATGACGCCAGCCTGAAAGGGGGCAGTGAAGAAGCAACGGAGGCAAAGCCAGGGACATGCAGGTGCAGAATCACGGGAGTCTGCGCTGGCGCTGTGCTCTGGCTCTGACACCACCTCGGCGCTGGTCCACACCCGCCCGACTGCCCACCTCGGCACAGCCCGGAGCTGCAGATCCATGGTCTGGCCCTGTCACCTGCCCTGATGTGACTGGGCCACCTCAGATGGGCCCACAGCACACAGATCTCCCCCTTGCAGCCTTCCTCTGGCCACTCCTCCTCCTCCTCGCTCTGCTTCATGGGGCTGCACCATCCACCCTCTCACCTCCCTCAGGGATGTGGCCCCACTCAGTGGTCCTTCCCCTCTCTCGGTCCTTCATTCTCCAGCTCTAGCTGCACTTATACTTCGGGGCTGAGTCCGGACCCTCTCCTCTTCTCTCCTCTCTACACACTTAACACTTTGGTGGACTCATGAGGCCACGCGGTTTCAAACACCATCTGAGCATGAAGGGTTTGCACAACGTAACTTCCAGTCGATGGATCCTAAGACCTCACCCCTTCTCCCGGCCCACATGCCCAGGTTCTCCACGGTGACTGACTACCTACCCAGGACAGGTGGAACCACACTGACCCCACCTACTTCAAGTCGCTTACAATTACGTACCCCAGTGACCACCACAGCGCGTGTGCACACCTGTCCCTGAGGAACCCCACTTACGCAGTCTGGTTCTGCAAACCTCCTTGGCTCTGATGTGTCACTATTTTGCCATGCGGTTCTCCTGTCCCTCTTTGAGGCCAAGGATCAAGCCTTGTCTTTTCAAGTTAAAAAAACAAAAAATACCTTTGGTAAGCCTCACCTCAACCCTCATGACATAAGCAGAAGTGATATCAGGATCCCCATTTACAAGTCAGGAAACTGAGGCTCAAAAGTGGTGGGTCAAATGCCCCGCATGCACTGGGCAAACAAGAACTGTTGATTTAATTCAAACTTAGAACAGGTCAGAGACCTAAAAGCGATGAACAAAACCTTCAAGGAAAAGAGAACAAGGAAGCCCTCACTGGCTCGTTTTACACTTTTGCAGGAGACCCTCTGGATGGACTTCACTTCCTCCCTCGGATGAGGAAACGAGCAGGCCTCCAGTGAAGGCATGAGAGATGCACAGACCTGCGCCCTCAGGTGACTCAGAGCCAGAGCCGCCCTGCTTCCTGCACGTGCACATACACATTCAAATCACGCACTGTCTAAGTCTGTTTAGCGGCACAAGTTTAACTCACTTCATGCAAAAAGAGGGGGTGCAGTGCCTGAAAAGATGAACGATATATGAAAGGATTCTTTGTAACCCTTTGTAACCTCTTATAGGGAGTCATTTTATAAAAGAAATCGTCACCTCGATGTTCAGCCTGGATTTTAAAATACTGTGCCCACCGAGAGGTAAACACCTAACTCCACAGCCATGTGCAGGCAGGAAGAACGGCGTTTTTGTACAATTTCTTTCATCACACTACCTCACGTTCACAGGATTCTCACAATAACGCTGTAGGTGTGCAGCCTTTCAGATGAGAGAAGTGAAGGTCAAGCAAAGTGCAAGGAAGCAAAGGCCAAGATCACAGGCATGCCGGCACACCTGGATTCTGGATTCCAGACCCAGATTCTGAAGCCACCTCCATTTTGGTTCTGTCAAGCTCCCTCTCCCGTACCCCACGGCTTCTCCTAACTTCATCACCCTCATACATGAGCTATGCCCATCACGTGATCACCTCCCCAGCAGTGGGGTCCCGCCCCCACAGCCACCGCCAGTGCTACTGCTGCTGCTAACACACTCCTAGAACAGCTCAGGACCCAGAGGCCAGCATGCTTTATTCATAAAAACGAGATGGCTCCTAACTGGATGGTATCACCCCATCTCTGCATCCTGCTTCTCACCTGTAACATGAGGACATCGGCCTAGATGACCTGCGAGGTCCAATTCCAGCTCCAATTCCAGCTCCAAGCGTTGGAAGATAAAGGCCGCGCTCCCTAATTCTTAGCAACTGAAAGGTCACCTTTAATAATTTAAACTAAGTGTTCCTCTGTTCTCTTGTTCTCAAGGACAAAGCATCCCTCCCCCTTTTCAGTGAGCAAATTCAAGGTTATTGTGCAGAATCCGAAAATTTCAAAGCTGGCAGGATCCAGACTAAGTTGTTATTCCGACATCCTCACTTTAAAGAAATGAGCCCAGAAATGGGAAGCAACTTAGGCAGATCCCCCCATGGCAGAGACAGAGCCCAGACTCAGATTCCCCGATTTCCAGCCCTGTGATCTTCCATCTGTGCGTGCCACGGGATTGGCCTGGTGTATTTTTCCTATCACAAACAATCAGAAGTTGCTTTGATATCCTTAGCTATCCCCTCTGTTGAATAACTTATTTGCAAATCTGAAAATACCTCCATTTGGAAGCAGGAAGTCTGTTCCATGATTCTTAACAAATGACAGGGTCACAGCCCCACCTGGCAACACGCTCCGAGGAGGTGTCTTCAACATCTACTCCCTGGGACTGCCTTAGCTGAGCACTGAGAATTTTTTAAAAGGGAGAATACTACCACCTCACACCTATTTGGATGGCTGCTACCTAAAAAATAGGAAAAAACAAGCGTTGGTGAGTATGTGAAGAAACTTGAACCCTTCTGCACTGCTGGCAGGAAGTAAAATGATGCAGTCATTATGGAAAACAGTATGGTGGTTCCTCAAAAAATTAAAAATAGAATTACCACATGATCCAGCAATTCCACTTCTGGAATATATCCAACAGAACTGAAAGCAAGGTCTCCAAGAGATATTTGCGCCCCCATGTTCATAGCAGCATTATTCACAATGGCCAAAAGGTGGAAACAACCTGAGTGCCCATCAATGGACGAATGAACAAACAAACTGCAGTATAAAACACAAGGGAATATTATTCAGCCTCAAAAAGAAAGGAAATTCTGGCACATGCTACAACATGGATGAATCTTGAGGACATTATGCTGAGCGAAATAAGCCAGCCACGAAAGGACAAATACTATAACAAACTCAGAGATAGAAAGTAGAATGGTGATTACCAGGGGCCGGGGGAGGAGTAAAGGAGAGTTAGTGTTTAATTGGGTACAGAGCTTCGTTCTGCAAGATGAAAAAAGTTCCGGAAATGGATGGTGGCGATGGTTGCACAACAATGTGAATGCACTTACATTAAGTTTATTGAACTGTATACTTAAAAATGGTCAAAACAGTAAATTTTTATGTTATGTATATTTTACTACAACTAAATAAAATTTTTAAAGGGGGTGTGGGAGAATACTGCGTTAATCAGAACTCATTTCAGGAAGATGAATGTTATTTGGTTAAAAAATTTCTTTGGTGGCCTGCCCGGTGGTGTAGTGGTTAAGTTTGCGTGCTTTGCTTGGGTAGCCCGGGGTTCGCGAGTTTGGATCACAGGCAAGGACCTACGCACCGCTCATCAAGCCATGTCATGGTGGCGTCCCATATACAAAATAGAGGAAGATGGGCACCGACGTTAGCTCAGGGCTAATCTTCCTCAGCAAAAAGAGTATTGGCAATGGATGTTAGCTCAGAGCCAGTCTTCCTCATCAAAAAAAAAAAAAAAAAATTTCTTTGGAAGACAGCATGGGCCCAGGAGGCCCAAGACAGCACCCTTTACGAGAAGAGGCATCTGCGCAGCTGAGGGGCTCAGGAGAGTTGGGGGCAACCCCGGCTCTTCTTTATCTGTCCCTCCTCCAGGATCTCTTCTAAATAAATGCTGGGCAGATATTTAAAGAACCCGAGAATAAACCAGCTGG